GATCCGACCCTGCGACCCTGACGCTGCTGCTCTAGCTATCAGACATGCACTGCTGACTGCTGCCACAATGTGCGACCTGTGCTGGCCCACTTGGCGGCCTTCCCGGTCAGTGGTGAGGCGCAGTTCAGAGCTGTCGATGGCGCGATGCCGCACTGGTCCCACATTGGTGACACGATACCACCAAGTTTGCCGGTCCAAGAGAGAGGCACCGGCGCTGTCCTGAGAAGGTGCGTGGTCCCTCTTGACTGCCCATGCGCGCGAGGCTGTGTAGGCATAGCCTCGAGAGTGCCAGCAGCCAATCCGAGGCAGTTTGTGATGCGCATTGCGCCAGAAGCGTGCACACGATGGAAGGACACCTTCCTACTGGCCGTACGATCAGGTCGTCACTGAATGCTGGATACTAAGGCCGCGAGCTATGCAGGTGATCAATTGTGCAGTATGGCACGGTCAGCAGCGCCGACAGGCTGTCGCAAGGCGTGATAGCATGGCCGCAAGTACGCCGAATTCCCATGAAAACAAGTGAAAAATGGCAGAAAAAAGAAAAAATGAAAAATCGGCGCCTGCGGCGGGCCATGGGGCCCCATCTCCCCCCCCGCATGCACACCCTCTGGGGCCCCCGCGCCGGCCCAGAGCAAAACTGCGCGTGTTATTTTTGAGAGGTCGTCACCGTGAGACTCGAGACTTGCGCCACTTTGAGATACGGCTAACCTCTTGGCGCTGGCGCGACTCTTGCCGTTGGCTGACTGGCGCGAGAGCGCTTAGCGTTTTGCAGCGATGCGAAACAGCCCAGCACCCGCGCGCTAGTCGGTGACCATGGCAGGGTCGGCCTCTGCGACGTAGCCAGCGTAGAAATCGAGCTTGTCGCGCACCACCCCGAGGTTCTCCTCCATCGAGCGGCGGCAAGCGTGCCACGCGGCCGCCTCCTCGCGCCACGCGCCTAGACGCCAGCCACTCCCGAGATGAGAGGGGGCCCGCCTCCCGGGGCGCCTTGCGCCGCCGCCGAGACGGAGGTCGCCGTGCAACGCCTCGTCGCGCTCGAGAGAGCGCCGCTGCGCCGCCGCCTCGCCGCGCAGAGCCTCGAGCAGCTGCTCGGCAGACTGCCGCACCGAGTCCGGGGTACGCGGCGCAAGCTCGCCGGCCGCCGCGGCGGTGGTGAAGGCGTAGAAGTTGGCGACGACGGCGCAGTACCTGCTCGTGAGTGTGAGTGTGTGTGGGGGGGGGGGGGGGGGGCTGTGTGCAGCAGCGCGCGGTGCGTGCGTGCGTGCGTGCGTGCGTGCGTGCGTGCGTGCGTGCGTGCGTGCGTGCGTGCGTGCGTGCGTGCGTGCGTGCGTGCGTGCGTGCGCGCGTGCGCGTGTGTGTGTTGCGTACAGAGGGGCCGCCGGCTGCCAACAATATACCTACAACTTTGAAGAAAACCGCGAGGGAGTACAACTGTAGTTGCCGCGAAAGGAACGGAATAGTCAGGGACATTCCTGTCGCCGATCCAGACACGCATCAAATCAATGTTCGCTCTCGTCGCCGCCGCTGCGCCCTCGCTCCTCGGCTCGCGCACGCCGACTCCGAAGCCAACGGTCGCCTTCTACCCGGGCGCCGGCTCTCCCAGCGAAGTGGGTGGCACCGGCCTTCCAGGCGCGAGCCGACCCGCCCTTTCCGACGACAGCCTTTCCGCTGTGGGCTAGGCCGCCTCATCCGCTGTGGGCTAGGCCGCCTCACCGCGACGCCGCTCGCACACTGACAACACACGCGCGCGCGCGGCGCGCGCACAACACGGCTTGACCGTTGCAGGTGACATCGGCTTCGACCCGCTCGGCCTCGCCAACTTTGATCTCCTTCTCGACAGCGGCATCGACAAGCAGCGCTCTGCCGCCCTGGTGCTCCGCGACTACCGCGACGCCGAGCTCAAGCACGGCCGCCTCGCCATGCTGGCCGCCGTCGCGTGGCCGCTGCAGGAGAAGCTGAACCCGCTCCTCGCGGCCCGCTTCCACATGCCCAATCTCGTGGCCGAGACGGGCGGCCTCTCTCCCTCCGTCCTCAACGGCGGGCTCGAGCAGGGCATCATCCCGTCGGCGGTCGTCACCTTCGCCGTGCTCGTCTCCCTCGTCGAGGCGCAGGGCCTGCGCATCAAGAAGGCGCAGGGCGAGGCCTGGATGCCCGGAGACTACACGACGGCGCGCATCGCCGAGCGCGGCTCGCCCCAGTTCTTGTCGCTCCAGGAGGGCGAGATCTGGAACAGCCGCATCGCGATGCTCGCCGTCCTCGCGTACGTCGTGCAGGAAGTGGCTTCGGGCATCCCCACCGCCGCCACCATCCCCTTCTGGGGCTTCTAATAGTGGGGCGGCCCTCGTGCTGGTGTCCTTGTCGTGCTACATTGCCGTTCCTCTTGTGTTGTCGATGCTGCAGCTGCTTCCGCACCGCGTGGCCTGTCTGATGTGAACCCCTCCCTGCCCTCTGTGGACCGCCCTCTTTGACGCGCATGCACCCCGTTTGGCGCCGTGCCGCGCCGGAGATGCGAGGGCTTCTGACAGCCTGGGCATCTCGCCGGCAATGGTGCTCTTCGTCCCGCGGTCCCGGGGCATGCGTTACCTATTTTTGCGTTTGTACTGTATATCCTCATCGACTGTGATTGTTGTGTGATGAGAAATGGTTTTCAGACTCGTATCTCTCGCCCGTCGAGACTACACGAATTGCGTCGCAATTCGCCGTTCGCGCAATTGCCAATTCGCCCACGAAATGCGACCCCAATGCACAAATGCAAGATGCACCTCCAGGGCGCAGGGCCAGGGGGGGGGGGGGGGTCGAGGCGCGAGGGCACTCGAGGATCAGACTCTGGAGATCGGACAGGACACGGAACTAAGAATTGCACTGTATTCGTTACGGTGGAAACGATAGACGCCAGTGGGGAGGTGGGAGTCCACCGTGCACCAGCCAATTCTCGGTCAGGTGTAGTGGATCACCTTAAAAACCTGGATTAATTCCTGAGCCCCCCTGGCCCCACCAGACGGGTGGCGCGAGGTGCCCGGGCCACTTTGTAGCGCCTCCCGAGCCTCCCGGCGCCTCCGGTGGCCTCCTGAAACCTCTCCCGCAGTATCTCTCGGCGACGTGGGGAGCGGCTGCCGTCCACGGCTCGCACCGGCTCTTCCAGCGGCTCCACGCTTGCCGCCCGTGACGTCCGCGCCACGCACCACCACGCGGCCGCTCGAGAGAGCGGTCGACGCCCATACTGCTGGGCGTGGCGCTCTATCGGTCGACGCTTCGGCGTCGCTGCTTGGTCGGTCCAGCGTGCCTCGACGCGGCGTCGCGGCCGAGTACGGCTCGATGGCACAGCGCGTCGCCACGGATAAGATGCGACCCTGCATGGAGGGGGAAGCTCCAAGAATGTTTCGTTCTACTTGCAGGAGAGGTCCAAGCAATTCGGGTGACTGCATGGCTCTTCGCCACTTCGCGTCGAGGGATGCCCCGGGGGGGCCCCGGCGTCCAAGATAATGACTTGCTTCATTAGAAGCGCCGTGTCTTGCGGCACGTGTTGTGACAAACAGGCCGCTATTAATGAAAATGGGAATGTTATCTAGTTAAGGCAACCCGAGCGACAACTCAGATAGACTCTAGCCCGACAGATCACCTGACAGCACCTGACAGCCTGACAGCCAGGGCTCAGATCACCCCCTGCTCCACGATGGGGGCTTTAGGCGACGAGGGCGGGGCGCTAGGCGGCGGTTTGTTTTCGGGGGAGTCGGGTGGGTCATCGGCGTAGCTAGAGGCCCCATCACCGATGTCGTCGAGTGGGATGGTTGTACCTCCTCCGTTAATAACCACGTCGTCGCCCACGGTGCTGCTCTCCCCGTCGTCTGCGTCTGTTGGGACAGACTCGTCTCGCCACTCCGGTGCGCCGCAATCCCTCGCGCCGCTCCTGCCGAGGTCCGCTTTCTTATCGACGTAGTCGTTCCACTTATGACCACTGTGCCCCTTGACGTGTCTCCATGTCACTTCGTGCCGTGGGGCTCCTGCCCGTGTCCGGGCGTGGAGATGCGAGGGTCGCCCCCCCTTGCCCCACCACTTTGTGTGTGGAGACGTTTACCTTACCTTACCTTACCTTACTTCGTGCCTCGACGCTAAATGCCGCCACGCTGCTCGAAGATAGCTCGCTAGTTGTGCGTTCTCCCCCGGCGAGATTCTCCCCGTCGCACACGCCATCGCGTACTCGCTGTCCGTTCGGACCACCCCTCGTGAGCCTGCTGGTTGTGGTGCCTTGTGGAGTAGTGAGCGAAAAAGCTCCGCAAGCGCTGACAGTTCTGCCGTGTTATTGGTGTGTTCCGCGCCCCCACGAAAGCGGCGTGTACGGGGCTAGTCACGACGGGGCCGTAGCCTTCGTTCACGAGCATGGCATTTACGTCGCGTATGCCGTCCCCGCCCATGACTACGGCGTACGCCCATCCTGCCCTGCCGCCGTCTTCCGACCCATCAGTGTACGCCGTCCAGTCGGGTGGTCGCTGCTGCTCGGGGCGGGACGGACACAGCGCGTGTGCTCCCGGGGCGCGAGCGCAGCCCTCCGCGTGCGGGGCGCAGGGCGCGCGGGCCCGCGCGGCGTGCGCCGTCTTCATTCTTCAATCCTCGGCGTCAGAGCAGACAGAGACTCTCTGCTGCGCACGCGCACGCTTCATTCAACTTACCATTCTACTGTACGCAGCGACAACCGGCATCATCCGACAAGGACCGCTGGCTCGGGTAGTGCCCTCTCCCTCTCCGGCGGCCCGCCCAGGCTTGGCGGCGACTGGTCGTCCCCGCCGCCGCCGTTGCGCTCTCTCTCGACGCTCCAGACGAACCAGCAGCCCTCGTTGCCGTCGCAGCCCGACCCGCGCGTGGCCAGCCAGCTACCGCCGCTGCCGCTGCCGCCGCTGCGCGGCTCCTCGCGCCGGCTCTGCCGCGTGAGCGTGAACAGGTAGTACGAGGGTGGCGCCGCCGCCGCCGCCGCAGCCAGGAAGCCGCCGTCGCACGTGTCGTACATGTCGGGGTGGAACGTGTGCACCCTCACCCGGCAGCCCCAGCATGGCATCCGGGCTGCGGCGAGCGCTTGCGCCGGCTTCGCCGCGCCGCCGGCGCGCTGCAGGTCGCCTTCATGCTCAACATCGCCGCCTCGGGCAACCTCTCCTTCCTCAACCACCTCACCGTCGTCCCGTCGCTCTCCTGCCTCGACGACGCCTGCTGGCGGCCGCTCGCCCGCCGCTGCCCGCGCGCCCTCGCCGCCCTCGTCGCAGAGCCCGCCGCCGCCCTCGGGAAAGCCGAGCCGCCGCCGTCGCGCCTCGCCCGCGCCGCGTGGGTGCTGCTCGACTGCGCCTTGCTCGGGGTGGTCGGATGGCTCTCTTGGCCGGTGCTTGCCAACCTGCTGAGCTCAGTGGCGGGAGGCAGGCCATGAACGCCTCCTTTGGCGCCTTCAAGCTCGTCAATACGTACGGCGCGTTCGGCAGCGTGGGCGAGGCGCGGTACGAGCCCATCGTCTCTCTGAGCCACGACGGACGCCCCTGGCAGGAGGGGCCCCTCCCCCCCCCCCCCCCCTGCCGCCCGCCCCGCCTCCGCATCTCGCACTCTCCCGTAGGTCGAGTTCCCCTGCAAGCCCGGCGCGGTGACTCGCCGGCCATGCTTCTGCGCTCCCTACCACTACCGGCTCGACTGGAACATCTGGTTCCTCGGCTTCAAGCCGCACCAAAGCATGCTGCAGCGGCGCGAGCGGTGGCTTTTCGCCTTCCTCCTCAAGCTGCTCGCCGCCGACCCGCCCGCCCTCTCCCTCCTCGCCGCGGGCGCCGCCGACGGCGCCGCCTTTCGCGACCCGGAGCCGCCGCACGCCCGCAAGGCGCCGCGGTACGCCAAGGTGGACATGTACCGCTACTCGATGGCGGAGCCGCTCTGGCTGCTCGCAGCCCGCTGGTGGCGCGCACCCGCGACGCCGCTCGTGTGGTGGAGCCGCGTCACGGGCTATCGGCCCCGCGCCGATCCTTATTTACGCCGCCTCGAGAGGCGAGACGCGTCGCGACATGACATCAAAGTGTTAATACACAAAAGGATAAAGCGTGTCGTCCTTGGTAGTTCACACAACGAGAATAATGCACAATACTTCACAATCAGTAGATATCCAGAGCCCTGGCCATCATCCGCACGGCCGCGCCCCGCGGGTCATGTTCATGTTCAAGACACGAGGGAGCGACTCCGAAGGGCGGCGGGGCGCGAACAAAAGGCGGCTATGGTTGGGGGCAAGTCAGCGCCCCCCCGGCTGGCACCGACGGCAGCATCGGGATGTGTCGGTGTCTGTAAGTTCCATGCAAGCCCACCTGCGGCATCGGCGGGCCGGCCCGTTGACGACCCCAACGAGCAAAACGGGAGGTGGAGGCGATAATAGACAAGGTTGTGCTCCAAGTTGTGCCCGAGTAGGCTCGTCTAATCGCATACCATCTGGGGCGGGGCGCTTGGCAAGCCAGTCGCCTTGCTGCAACATCCACTGGGGCTGGCGCATGGGGAGCATACCACTTCGCACACGGTCGACCCTCCGACTCCGACACTGCCCGAGTGGCAGTACTGGGTGGGTGGGTCGGATGGCAAGCCAGTCGCCTTGCTGCAACATCCAGTGGGGCTGGCGCATATGGCGCAGCCCAAGAATGTGCACACATCAGTCGACCCTCCGACTCCGACACTGCCCGAGCGGCAGGACAACCCAGGGGTGGTTGGCAAGCCAGTCGCCTCGCTGCAACATCCACTGGGGCTGGCGCATGTGGCGCAGACCTCTTTGCACACAGCCGCTCCGAGTCCGACACTGCCCGAGGAGCAAGTGTGCCTGCATTCCTCAATCACGAGCTGCTCCTCCTGCTCGAAGGACTCCCGAGATCCATCGGCATCGACGAAGTCGGCGCAGTACTCTTTGCCGGCGATTTCGATGCTGCCACCGTGCCAGCCATCTCCGTAGGAGTCAGTGCAGGAAAGGGTGAAGGCGCCGGTGCCGATGCAGCAGTGCTCCGACGTTTCCGTGTTGTCGTCGTATGGGCCGCCAGAGCAGACGGCGTCGCCGGACGCATCGCGAATCGACCACGTCACCTCGGAGCCCCAGCTCTTCGTGTTGACGGTGACCGAGTCGACCGTGCACTGCTTGCGGAACACCTGGTCGCCTGCCCAGCCCCAGTCGATGCCGGGTGAGCGCGTGCATGCGGTGTACTTGGTGCAGAAGCGGTTGGCCGGGCGGAACAGCACAAAGGGGCAGTCGGGGTCGTCGAGGCACTTCTTCTGGCAATCCTCCGAGGTGGGCTGATCGCCATAGTTGTTCCACGAACCACCGCTCCAGTAGTTGCCGTTATGCTCGCTGCACATCTTGACGTTGTTGCCGTCGGTGGTGAAGGCGAGGCCCATGCCGCTCACGACCGAGGGAGGCGACAGCTTCCGGCCCCCATGCGAGGTCTTGTTGGCGGGCGTGATGTAGCGCGCGGTCAGGGTCGAGTCCGCCTTGGGAACGGCCTTGGTGGAGGAGAGGGTCTTGCGGCTCTCGGAGGCGCCGAGCGATTCCTTGTCGTCGACGATGGACTTGCTGGCCGTGTCGACGTCGGCGTACTTGAGGGTAGTCGCGACGTCCAGCTTGTCGGTCGGGATGGGTGCTCCGCGCGTGGCGGAGGCGGCGAAGGCGATCATCAGCAAGAGGCGGACCATGCTGTTGTCGGACGGGCGGCGAGAGTGAGTGAGGCAGCGACAGGAGGAGCGACCCGCGGCCAAGGGCAATGGCGACGCCGCACTGGCGGGTGGTCCGCCGCAGCACAGTGAAGTTGGCCGTGTGCGGCGGCAGCGAAAGTGGAGGAGAGGGTGGGCTGGAGGAGGGTGTAGCGAGCGGGCGGTGCGGTGCTGGGCTGGGGCGGCAGCACACATGGATGGCGAGACCTTTGCTCCTCGGCCTCGGCGTGATGTCCAAGTCACGCAAAAACGGCCCCCCCCGGGACAAAGGAGGGTTGAAGCACTCCGATAATCAAAGCGCGCGCATATTCTGCATCGACGAGACACAGGCATTCTTGGATGGTGGTTGAGGGCGTCCGCGCAACATGGACAAAGGAACAGCCCAGCAGGGACCAGGGTGGATGGATGGATGGAGCGACCTCTGCATGTGCATGGACATGCACATGACATGCACATGTGCATGTGCATGTGCATGTGCATGCACATGTTGTTGTGCGTACGCGCAGTCAGGTCGCCCGCCGCGGGCAAGAAAAGAAGGACGCCAGCAAGGTCGCCGGTCAGAGAGAAAAGACGACGCGGGGTGGCACCATCTAACATCTCCACATTAAATCTTCTTTTGGAGAACCCAATCATAGTGGAGACCCACCCGGTGTCCTTAGATGGAAAACGCTTCCGCCTAGATGGCGTTTCTCCGCGGCATCTAGGATGCGCATATCATCTGTAGATGGGGGAGTCGCCGCCCCTGAGGCTGAGCCTCTGACGGAGGTCGTCGGCGGAGGACGAGGACGAGGATGACCGGTTGACGAGGATCGAGGGGTGCGCGGTGCGGGCGCGAGAGGCCGGGTGGCCAGAACTGCTCTGGGCCGGCGCGGGGCCCCCCGGAGGCACCGTGCGCCGCGCCGCAGTGCGGAAACGGGGCTCCGGCGCTCAGAGTCGCTCAGAGCACCGACTTCCCGAATGGTTACGGTTGGTTAGAGGGCAGATTTGGAAAGATCTCGAGGAGTACATACAGATAGACCCTCCAACCATCAGAAAGCTCCGACCTGATCGGTCGTACTGACCGCCGACAGATCACTCCAGACAGCAGACAGGCCGACGTCTGCACGCGGCCGGCCGGGCGAGAGGCTTGACACGATCCGACCCTGCGACCCTGACGCTGCTGCTCTAGCTATCAGACATGCACTGCTGACTGCTGCCACAATGTGCGACCTGTGCTGGCCCACTTGGCGGCCTTCCCGGTCAGTGGTGAGGCGCAGTTCAGAGCTGTCGATGGCGCGATGCCGCACTGGTCCCACATTGGTGACACGATACCACCAAGTTTGCCGGTCCAAGAGAGAGGCACCGGCGCTGTCCTGAGAAGGTGCGTGGTCCCTCTTGACTGCCCATGCGCGCGAGGCTGTGTAGGCATAGCCTCGAGAGTGCCAGCAGCCAATCCGAGGCAGTCTGTGACGCGCATTGCGCCAGAAGCGTGCACACGATGGAAGGACACCTTCCTACTGGCCGTACGATCAGGTCGTCACTGAATGCTGGATACTAAGGCCGCGAGCTATGCAGGTGATCAATTGTGCAGTATGGCACGGTCAGCAGCGCCGACAGGCTGTCGCAAGGCGTGATAGCATGGCCGCAAGTACGCCGAATTCCCATGAAAACAAGTGAAAAATGGCAGAAAAAAGAAAAAATGAAAAATCGGCGCCTGCGGCGGGCCATGGGGCCCCATCTCCCCCCCCGCATGCACACCCTCTGGGGCCCCCGCGCCGGCCCAGAGCAAAACTGCGCGTGTTATTTTTGAGAGGTCGTCACCGTGAGACTCGAGACTTGCGCCACTTTGAGATACGGCTAACCTCTTGGCGCTGGCGCGACTCTTGCCGTTGGCTGACTGGCGCGAGAGCGCTTAGCGTTTTGCAGCGATGCGAAACAGCCCAGCACCCGCGCGCTAGTCGGTGACCATGGCAGGGTCGGCCTCTGCGACGTAGCCAGCGTAGAAATCGAGCTTGTCGCGCACCACCCCGAGGTTCTCCTCCATCGAGCGGCGGCAAGCGTGCCACGCGGCCGCCTCCTCGCGCCACGCGCCTAGACGCCAGCCACTCCCGAGATGAGAGGGGGCCCGCCTCCCGGGGCGCCTTGCGCCGCCGCCGAGACGGAGGTCGCCGTGCAACGCCTCGTCGCGCTCGAGAGAGCGCCGCTGCGCCGCCGCCTCGCCGCGCAGAGCCTCGAGCAGCTGCGCAGTATCTCTCGGCGACGTGGGGAGCGGCTGCCGTCCACGGCTCGCACCGGCTCTTCCAGCGGCTCCACGCTTGCCGCCCGTGACGTCCGCGCCACGCACCACCACGCGGCCGCTCGAGAGAGCGGTCGACGCCCATACTGCTGGGCGTGGCGCTCTATCGGTCGACGCTTCGGCGTCGCTGCTTGGTCGGTCCAGCGTGCCTCGACGCGGCGTCGCGGCCGAGTACGGCTCGATGGCACAGCGCGTCGCCACGGATAAGATGCGACCCTGCATGGAGGGGGAAGCTCCAAGAATGTTTCGTTCTACTTGCAGGAGAGGTCCAAGCAATTCGGGTGACTGCATGGCTCTTCGCCACTTCGCGTCGAGGGATGCCCCGGGGGGGCCCCGGCGTCCAAGATAATGACTTGCTTCATTAGAAGCGCCGTGTCTTGCGGCACGTGTTGTGACAAACAGGCCGCTATTAATGAAAATGGGAATGTTATCTAGTTAAGGCAACCCGAGCGACAACTCAGATAGACTCTCACTGAGAGACCTCCTCACCTTAGACAAAGAAGAGACACACACACACACACATACACGCGCGCGGTGTACCCGCTACGTACGTCATGCGCCTGAGCCTATCTCTACTCGCATGCGTCCTCAAACCTGCCCGCACGCGAGGTCGTACTCGCTGCGGGCGAGGTAGAAGAGGCCGCCCTCCTCCTTCGCCCACTTGAGCTCTGGCACGGGGAGGGAGCAGGTGCGTCGCGCAGTCGCGGCGACGCGGTTTTGCTCGCTCGGCCAAGCCTTGAAGACAACGCTGCGAGCCGACGGCCGCGCTCTTTCGGCGCGGCGGCTGGTAGTTTGGATCGCGTATTTTGGGTATTGCTTGCTGTCCCCCTCTCCTCACGTTGAAGGATAACCTTCATAGCAAGCTATGTCCCATAGTCCCGTTGGACTCGCGCAGCAACGCCGAAAAGCACAGCCACGCCGCACGGCGCACCGCTCTCGTCCTCTGGCTGCGCCGGCAGCTCGTAGTCGCGCTCGCGCACCCACAAGCGGATGCCCTCCCGTCCGCGAGCGAGGCGTGAAAGAGGAGGTTGAGGAGCGAGAGCCGAGACGATCGACCACGCGAGCGATATCTCGGCGGGGCTGTCTCGAGGGGCTGTCGCAGCGAGAGAGGGTGCGCAGAGGAGCCAGGAGGAGGTCCGTGGTGAGGTCGAGGATGGAGGGGGCCGGGGCGGGCCGGACACAGCGCGTGTGCTCCCGGGGCGCGAGCGCAGCCCTCCGCGTGCGGGGCGCAGGGCGCGCGGGCCCGCGCGGCGTGCGCCGTCTTCATTCTTCAATCCTCGGCGTCAGAGCAGACAGAGACTCTCTGCTGCGCACGCGCACGCTTCATTCAACTTACCATTCTACTGTACGCAACGACAACCGGCATCATCCGACAAGGACCGCTGGCTCGGGTAGTGCCCTCTCCCTCTCCGGCGGCCCGCCCAGGCTTGGCGGCGACTGGTCGTCCCCGCCGCCGCCGTTGCGCTCTCTCTCGACGCTCCAGACGAACCAGCAGCCCTCGTTGCCGTCGCAGCCCGACCCGCACGTGGCCAGCCAGCTACCGCCGCTGCCGCTGCCGCCGCTGCGCGGCTCCTCGCGCCGGCTCTGCCGCATGAGCGTGAACAGGTAGTACGAGGGTGGCGCCGCCGCCGCCGCCGCAGCCAGGAAGCCGCCGTCGCACGTGTCGTACATGTCGGGGTGGAACGTGTGCACCCTCACCCGGCAGCCCCAGCGTGGCATCCGGCCGTCGCCGCCCTGGTCGAGGGTGAGGCCCGAGACGATCTCGTGAGATCCGTGCCCAATCAGGCCCGGACAGCTCGCATCGAGCATACGCCGCACGCGCCGCTGCACCTCCTGCGGCGGAGGGTCGAGCTGGCCACCGCCGCCCTGGGCGCGGCCGCTCTCCATGATCATGGCGCGGCGGGCACGAGAGAAGAGCTGGAAAACGCGTGGCAGCCTGGCCTCCGAGAGGGCTCGGAGCTGCTCCGACACGACCTCCTCCGGCGTCGCCTCCACGCTCGGCAAGCCAGGCCGGACGCTCATCAAGAGCAGAGAGGTGCGCGGCGCGAGCAGGGCCACGAGCGGCGCGTGCACGTGCATGTGGACACGTATATTGTCCTGCCGCGAACAGAGTCCCGTCGGCCCAAGTCCGCGGTTTAGCTCACGCACTCTCGAGGTCTCTTGGAGCAGAGCCCGGCGAGCCCTCGAGAGACAGTCAAGACAAGAATCTGGCCTCGTAACACACACAGGGTACACGAGAGCAGAATTTTTCGAGCGCTATCCCGCGCCGCGTGCTCTTTCTTTTACACGAGGCACGGGACTGGCGCGCACGGGCGGTGAACCTTCTTTTGTTTGTTTGTAGACGGCTAGGACTGTGAGCAGCCTCGCTCTCAATCCTACCTAGATAGAAGTCGAAGGATTGTGAGCAGCACTCCTCGCAATCGTAGCATCTCTGTGCGATTCTGAGCACCTACGCTCGCAATCCTACATCTTCTAGGACTATGAGCAGGCTCCGCTCACAATGTGACTGGTTGGTGACCGCCTACGACTACTACCAGCGCGCTCGCAATCCGAGCAAAGTCTAGGATTGCGAGCAGCACTGCTCACAATCGTAGCAACATGCCTCCGATTGTGAGCCGTAGGGCTCGCATTCGCTCCCATCCCCTCCTTTGCCTTGTCTGTTTTCTTTCTTTCTTTCTTTTTGGCAGCCGCACAGCCGGGGAGCTAAGAAGCGCACCCAGCGGGCTGGATGCTTGGTATCGGGCTGCGGGCTGCAAGAGAGGTCGGGGCGCTAGCCGGGGCGCTGTGACAGCTCATCGTTTCCACCGTAACGAATGACAAGTGCAATTCTTAGTTCCCTGTGATAGTGCCAGCACGCGCCAGTCCGCACTTGTGTCGAGCCTGTCTGCTGTGAGAGAGAGTTGTGTTTGTCAAATTCTTCGTTCTATCCTGTTGAGACAAAACTATTGTGGGTTCGCCGTCAGCGCGACCTGACAGCGGAGCACTTGGTGTTGGAGCGCACTTGGAGTGCGGTCGGTAACCTCACATCCAGCGCGGGGAGCCGGGGACTCCTCCGAAGCTCCGTTGTTAGGCCGGGCGCTCGCTCCCCCCCGCACCTCTAAGCTGTAAGTACTAATACGTACTGTAGACACACCTCAGCTCATCATTCCTTTCTTTCATTTATAGTGCCTTGTAGGCCGCCCCCGACAAGGGCGACGAGGGTCTATGCTACACGAAATGCCTGACTTACGACGAGGCCAATGCGGCTGGCCTAGACGCATGGACTGGGTGCGTACCTTGACCACGCGTAATCGGGTGCGTACCTTGTCTCTAGCTAGTTCGTTCTCTGCTGCGTGTCTGTGTGTCCGTGCTGAGCCGTGGCGCCCACACAGGCGCTGCCTCCCTGCCTCATGAGTCATGTCTCGACCCCGCGCCCGGTGTACACAAGAGTGGCTCGCTCGCCTCCCTCCCGTCCCACCTCCGGTGCACACCTCGGCCTGTGAGTCCTTTTCTTTCTATCGCAGCGCACTCGCCATCTGCGAGCTAGCGCGTCGCGAACTCGCCGTCTGAGCCTAGCGCCGCGCCTCGGACATCACCATTTTGGCTCGAACAAGCCCTCCGCGCCCCCACACCGTGAGGATAATATTTTTCTCTCTCTTTGTCGGCGCCTGAACCAATACGACGGCGCGACCGAGGTGCAAATAGATAGCCGAGCAGCACGCCGATGAGCCCGACCAGCAGCTTTGAGAGAGAGAGAGAGAGAGAGATGAGACGAGGGCGGCGGGCGCGCGGAGGGGCAGCGTGAGGTGACGTTACGGCTTCTGGAAGGGGGTGCAGTGGCGCGGTTCGTCTCTCTATGTTCGGCGCCTGAATTAAATAAAAATAGTGCGAAATCTCAGTTTGCTAATGATGCCGGCCCCCTCCGAAGCTAATGGGTGGAGCTGCCCGCGGTGCGCCCGAAACAACCCCGCCCGCGTTGCCGTCTGCACGTCGCGAGGCTGTCACGTCTACTTCTGCTTCAAGTGCTCGCGAACCGGCCACCTTCAGGCGGACTGCCTCTACCGCGTGAACGGCACGGCGAAAGGCGCGTCCGGTGAGGTCCGGGCAGGCGACTGGGCGTGTGACGTGTGCGGCAACCACAACTTTGCGTCAAAGGCGACTCTAACGGCCTCTCCCCTCTCTTCTTACTCCGTGACCGACGCAGCCCCATGGCTAGATCGGCCTGCATGATGCTCGTCTCGCGCACCGCGCGAGAGCACACGCCTCACTCACCCGCCGCTCACCGCTCACCGCCGCCGCATCTCTCCCCCGGGTTTGGCAGGTCGGCTGCAACCTATGCGGCACGGCCAAGCCCGACGGGGCTGAAATCGTCAAACTGGGCGCGGAGGCGGCGCTTTGGTGTGCCGAGGCACCTTCGCCGTGTGTCACACCGGCCTTCTCCTCTCCGCATCTCGGCTGTATTCTCGGCAAATATTGCGAGATGTAGGAGAACCCCCGCTACAAGACGGCCCTGTGCCGCCACTTTGCGGAGGGCGGCGCCTGCTTCTACGGCAACCGCTGCGCGTACGCGCACGGCACCGGGGAGCTGCGGAGGGGGCATTACGCGCCTCCGCACAGGCGCGTGCTAGAGCGCCTCCCTCACCACACGCAGAGCACACACGACGCACAACCTGGCGGGCGGGGGGGGGGGGGCGTCAGACCGCGGAGGCAACCTCCCCTTTTCCGGACCCCCCCTGATTATTGATGCATCGTCTCAAGGCTATTCGCATGTGTGACCGCATCATCGGTATGGCAGATGGTCCGATCGGCGAAGAAGGCAACCACGATGATTTGCTTGCCCGCCAGGGTGGATTGTACCGGCACCTTTGCGAACTGCAGATGGGATTGAGACGATGACTGAAGCTCGGCTGCCGACCCCGAAATCTGTCAATAACAAAGTCAGTGCCAACTATAGCGATTTTGCCCCACCCGCTCTGGAAATCGTCAAAAAACCCGCCTCGCCACTTCGATACATCCTCATCTGGCTCATATGCCTTCTCTTTGCCGCGGGATTTGTCTGGAGGTATCTCGAAAGGATCGACATCGACGCAGCCCCACACGGTAAGGTGCAGCCATCCGGTCGGGTCAAAATCGTGCAATCGACCATCTCAGGGCGCGTTGTTTCCGCCATGTTCGCGAACGGCATGGAGGTCAAGAACAGGGATTTGCTCTGGAAACTCGC